AAAAGTAAAAAGAGATGAATTGAATGCTTAATAATCTGGCAAAGATATCAAGATGTATCAGTCTTGCCATTGAGACGAGGTGTGGTGTAGCAAAAATATATTTGGTCTTTGTTCCTGGTTCCTGGTTCCTGGCAGAGAGCTCCTAAAACTCTTGGAATTTACTAAGGGATCTGAGTGTCTTTTTTACTCATGCTAATGAGATGACTCATTTCTGGGATGGGGGGTAGGTACTAGATAGCTTCAGGGCAGGGGCTGATCACCAGAAGAACCAACCCTGTGATTAGAGGGTTGGAACTTTTAGCCTCATCCTCTGACTTCTGGGAAGGGAAAGTGAGTGGGGATTGAGTTCAGTCATATAACCAATGATTCAATCAATTATGCCTACATAACGGAAGCCTGTATAAAAACCCTGAAACAACAAGGTTTGGAGAGCTTCTGGACTGGTGAACACATCCACGTGCTGGGTGCGACATGTGTCTGGAGAGGTGTGGAAGTTCTGTGCCTCCGCCCCTACATCTCCATTTGGCTATTCCTGACTTGCATCCTTTATAAGAAAACTGCCATCATAAGTGCAGTATAGCCCTTTCATGAGTTCTGTAGTCATTCCAGCAAATTACCATGAATCATGGGACTCCCCAGCAAATCTGTAGCCAGGTCAGACAGAAGTGTGGGTACTGCGGGTAGTCTGGGGACCTGGGACTTGTGTTTGGCATCCGTAGTGGGAACAGGCTTGTGGGAACTGAGCTCCTTAACCTGTGGGGTCTGCACTAACTCCAGTTAGCTAGTGTCAAATTGAATCGTGGGACACTTGGTCAAAGAATTATTGTTGGGGCCGGGCGCAGTGGTTCAAGCCTGTAATCCCAGCACTTTGGGAGGCCGAGACGGGCGGATCGCGAGGTCAGGAGATCGAGAACATCCTGGCTAACACGGTGAAACCCCGTCTCTACTAAAAAATACGAAAAACTAGCCGGGCGAGGTGGCAGGAGCCTGTAGTCCCAGCTACTCGGGAGGCTGAGGCAGGAGAATGGCGTGAACCTGGGAGGCGGAGCTTGCAGTGAGCTGAGATCCGGCCACTGCACTCCAGCCTGGGCGACAGAGCCAGACTCCGTCTCAAAAAAAAAAAAAAAAAAAAAAAAAAAAAGAATTATTGTTGGAAAGTACCAGGATACTTAAATTGTTTGCTCAAAGACCCTCCCACTTTGAATAGACCCAACCAACACTTACTCCAGTGACTCTTATGTGAGCTTCCTGGCTGATCTTTTTTTTTTTTTCTTTTTTTAAGACAGAGTCTCGCTGTGTCACCCAGGCTAGATTACAGTGGCATGCTCATAGCTCAGTGTAACCTCAAACTCTTGGGCTCAAGCAACCCTTCTGCCTCAGCCTCCTGAGTAGTTGGGACTACAGGTGTGTACCACTATGCCCAGCTATTTTTGCATTTTTTGTAGAGACAAGATCTTGCTATATTGCCCAGACTGATTTCGAACTCCTGGGTTCAGGCAATCCTCCTGCTTTGGCCTCCCAAGGGCTGGGATTATAGGCATGACTTCACCAGGCCCCACTTCCACTTTTTTTTTGTGGTTACACATTCCTTCTACACACATGTCAATATGTTCACATGGTCAAGTCTTGCAGGTGTGAGAGCCATTCTTTGCATGTCTCTGCTCCTGTCCATTCTGTTTTGATGACACAGCTTAACTTTAGCCTGCAGTATTGATAGCTCAGTCTTTGTTTAGCTCTGGGCCTTGGCACCCCTGGCCTCTTTTGGAGTTGTGGCTAGAAGTCCTCAAATGCTTCCTGGCTTGTCGTGCAAACCTCATAAGTATCTTTATATTGTACATCTCTGGACTGCAGAGGTGTGACTGTCCAACGTCACCATGATTTAGCACTATCTGGAATAACCTGCTTCTCCAGTCTCTGACTCAGCTAGTTCAAATGTCTGCAGTATTTCCTCTCATTCTCACCCACTGGGACACTAAGACCCACTCCACTAGCAGAGGAGACTGATAAATTAGAGCTGAATTACATACAACTCCCACCTGCCAAAAAAGTCCCTTAACTGCATGTTACAAGCTATGGTGTAAATAGTCCTTCCTTGTAAGAGACAAAACAAAAATTCCAGAGAGCCATAAAGTTGCTCAAATTCTGACCCTGAAATTCTACTTCCAGACCTAAGGAAACAATCAGAGATACAAAGAATTATGTAAAAGTTATAAACTGTAATATTATTTATGAAGTGGAAAAACTAGAAATAATCTTAAATATCTAACAAAGAACAATATTATGTTTAAATTATATGATATGCAGTGATTTAAAATGTTTTTGAAGAAATTTAAAGACAAGCAAGGTCTCATAGCATCATGCTAAATGAACACAGTGGAATGTCAACTCTATACATTAAGGATCTAGGTAAGGTTAAGACGTATATATTATGTGCATCAAAAAAGATCTGAAGAAAATCTCAAAACCATCACCAGAAGCTTTATTTTATTTATTTTTGAGGTGGAGTTTCGCTCTTGTTGCCCAGGATGGAGTGTCGTGGCGTGATCTTGGCTCACTGCAACCTCCGCCTCCTGGGTTCAAGCGATTCTTGTGCCTCAGCCTCCTGAGTAGCTAGGATTACAGGTGCCCGCTATGATGCCCAGCTCATTTTTGTATTTTTTAGTAGAGATGGGGTTTTGCCATGTTGGCCAGGCTGGTCTCAAACTCCTGACCTCAGCTGATCCGCCCACCTCAGCCTCCCAAAGTGCTGGGATTACGGACATGAGCCACCATGCCTGGTCTAGAAATTTTCATTTAATGTGAAATTATGACTAATTTATTTTCCCAAGTTATCAAAGTGAGTATATATTACTTTTGTAATCTGAATTTAGTAGTTTTCTAAAAGTACTGTCTACCCCACAGCACTGCTTGATGTCTTTTGAGTGACTCCAAGGAGAGTAATCTTTTCTATTTTGGCTCTATCCATCTTTCCATTTTCATCGATCACTGTCTCCCACATACTGCTTTCCAGCCACATGGAACCTCTCACCATTCTTTCCACCCAACAGGCCTTTTCATCACTCTGTGCCTTGGCGTTTGCTGCTCCTTCAGCCTGGAATGCTCCTTACTTTCTTTCATACTCACTCTTCTTCCAAATGCACTTCAAATGCTAGTTTCAGGTTCCTGAAGACACAATTAGTCACTCCAGGTTCTGTGCTCTGTAGTTGTTTTACACCCGCTCCAGCATTTATCATGTGGTCATGTGACTCATTTACAACTTGCCTTCCCCACTAAATTGTGAGCCTGTCTTAGGGTAGGTGTATTATTTACTGTTGTATCACAAAGCCGACTATGTGCCAGGTAATGGAGATACAACAGTAAACAATACATCTAAATACACTTATTTAACATTCTTATTACAAAGAGTGCTAAATAAGTTAATTTAAACTTTACTGTTACCTCTTATTCAAAAAGAATCAAAGGCCAGATGCACTGTCACACTCTTGTAATCTCAGCACTTTGGGAGGCCAAGGCAGAAGGATTGCTTCAGCCCAGGAGTTCCAGACCAGCCTGTGCAACATGGTGAGACCCCATCTTTACAAAAAATTTAAAAATTAGCTGCACATGGTGGCATGTGCCTGTAGTCCCTGCTACTCGGGAGGCTGAAGTGGAAGCATTGCTTGAGCTTAGGAGGTTGAGGCTGTAGTTAACTGATCACATCGCTGCACTCCAGCCTGAGTTATGGAGGGAGACCCTATTTCAAAACAAAAATAAAAACCAAAAACAGGCCGGGTGCAGTGGCTCACGCCTGTAATCCCACCACTTTGGGAGGCCGAGGCAGGTGGATCACCTGAGGTCATGAGTTCAAGGTCAGCCTGACCAACATGGCAAAACACCATCTCTACTAAAAATACAAAAATTAGCCAGGTGTAGTAGTGGGTGCCTGTAATCCCAGCTACTTGGGAGTCTGAGGCAGGAGATTCACTTCTACCCTGGAGGTGGAGGTTGCAGTGAGCAGAGATCACACCATTGTACTCCAGCCTGGGTGACAAGAGCAAAACTCTGTCTCAGACAACAGCAACAACAAAACCCCCCAAAAGAATCAAACTACTGGCTTAATAAATGGATGAATGAACTAGTGGCAAGGTTGACTACCAAAAAAAAAAAAAAAAAAAAAATCTGTGGTTCTTGGCATCCAAGCTCAGAAAAGGAATGATGTTGGAAGTAAGCTCTGTGAAAGACTATTATACAGACCTGAAAATGAGATAATGTTGTAAATACCAACAAAAGACATCCTGCCCTAGATGGCATGTCTTTGGAATTTTGAATTCTGTACCTCACTGCCTGATCATGTCAGGAACTATAAAGGGCCTAAGATTTGATTTTACTTGATTTACAAAGGCTAGTAAGTTAGGGTTTGCCACAAGGAGGTGCTGAATCTGGGGGACAAAAAGAACATGAAAGGGCTCCCCTGTTCCACCATCTCCTGAGATCGAATGTGTTCCCTCTCCAGGTGCTAGGGTCTCTGTGGCCATGCAGTTGGTGTGTCCCATCCAGTAGCCATGTCTATACTTTTTCTCCAGTCGTGCCCTACTTGCATCCAGATATCTTGTCTGGAAGGGTCAGATGTAAGAGGGACAGGGGCATTTTTGCAAAATTAAGAGAACCATTATACCCTATCTTGGCCTGTGTAGAACCTTGTAGAGGGATCTAGAGAACAGTGTACTAAACTAAGTAGTCATTATCATCATGATATAGGACCATGTTAGTCCAGTCTAACTGAACCAGAATTAAATTTGAATTCCCTAGTCTGTCTTTTGGCAAGTAGTCGAAGGTGTTCTCTCCCCAGGGACATCTGAAGGGTACACTAACCAGGCTGGCCTGAGGATGCTGTTAGGGAAAAAAGATGCATCGTGTTTAGCAATTGTCAGTGTAGAATCTTGGATTTTCAAAATAGGTTCTATAGCTCTCCACCCTTATGGTCCAGATTATCACCTAGGAGACCAAGAGGAGATGAACTCTTTCTGGGGAAGGGTTCATTTAGTGACCATACTGCCTTACTAAGGTGTGCATTGAGAGTTAGGGTTAGAGTCAGAAATCTTTTTGAGTTGATTTTTGAAAAGGCCTTTCCAATGTTCAAAATGATAGCAGATACCTGCAAATGGGAGCGTGAAATGTCCATTGAATACCTTGACTTGTGGTCCATTGCTGAATGGCTTTTGAAATCCCTTCTCCCAAGTCTCACAGGGGTGATGTGGGCCAGATAGATGTCACACATGCAGGGAGTTGTATTACAGGAGGGGAACACTGAGCTCAGGGACTCCACTGCTTTTATAGCAAACAGTAAGCAAGCTTGCTCTTTGTCCTGATGGGAGACATCCCTTCATGTTTCAAGGTTGCTTGCTGCAACCTAACCCTGAGAAATGTCCTGGATAAAGAGTGGTGAGAGCCTTGCATTCTTGGCATACTTAGCAAGGTGTGTAGGAGTATAAGAGCCTCACAGAAAGGAGACTCCCAATAGATATGCTCTGTGAAATGATCAGTGCTCTCACATTCCATGCCAATGACCAACACTTATTTAAAAAAAAACAGTTGATCAAGTAATTCCAATGAAAGAAGAGGATCTCTTGAAGTAATAAAAATTGCTCCCTTAATTCATTCTTCTTTTTTAGTGGCTTCTATCTAGTGTTTTTTCAACCATAAAATATTTTTTCTTTAGGCTCTCCAATTTTCTTCTAAAACAATAAAAGTGTCTTTCATGGGCCTCTGATGACTCAACTTCCTTTTTTTCTTAGGTAGTCTCCTGAAAACAAACACAGCATGGTTATTATTTATGAGCTGAAAATTATCACTACAAATGATTCATTCATCCATTTATTATTCCACAAACATTGCGAGGTGACTGCCATGTGCTAGGCACTGTGCTACGTACTGGAGATATAAGGGTGACTGGATAGTTGAAACACAGTTCCTGCCCTCATGGAGTTCATTGTCTAGTAGGGGATATAGGCACATACAAACATCAATTCTATTTCATGGTAATAAGTGCCATCGTAGAGGTATTTGAGCTGTACTGGAGTATGAATTGGGTTCCCATGCAAAAAAAAAAAAAAAAAAAAAAAAAAACAAAGGATGAATAATGCATATGACTGGGCAAAGGGAATAGGATGAGAGAGGGTTCAAGAGAATAGAAGAAACTGCTGCCCTCCTCTGCTATATGTATTCTATGACCTAGACTTAAAACTGATTACAGCTGGGTGCAGTGGCTCACATCTGTAATCCCAGCACTTTGGGAGGCCAAGGTGGGCAGATCACGAGGTCAGGAGATCGAGACCATCTTGGCTAACATGGTGAAACCCCGTCTCTACTAAAAATACAAAAAATTAGCTGGGCATGGTGGCACATACCTGTAGTCCCAGCTACTTGGGAGGCTGAGGCAGGAGAATTGTTTGAACCCGGGAGGCAGAGGTTGCATTGAGCCAAAATCCCACCACTGCACTCCAGTCTGAGCGACAGAGCGAGACTCTGTCTCAAAAACAAAACAAAACATAAACCTGATTACAGTACTTGATGTACTTACTTTTTAATGATGGAGTCTCACTATGTTGCCCACACTGGACTCAAACTCCTGGGCTCAATCAATCCTCCTGCCTCAGCCTCTTGAGTAGCGGGGGCTACAGATGCACTCCACCATGCCAGGTAGCACTTCATTATTTTTGAGACGGAGTCTTGCAGAGTAAGTCACAATACATGCTTAAGATTCTTTTTTTAAACTGAGGACCTGGCTGGGTGCAGTGGCTCATGCCTATAAGCCCAGCACTTTGGGAGGCTTATAAGCCCAGTATTTTGGGAGGCACAAACCTGATTAATTTGTGTGACAGAAGTCCCATAGCATCCTTTTCCTAATTATTGTTTAAAGGTTTTCTTTAATTAATAGTCATGCTCCTAGAATCCTTCATAATACAATTTTTAAATGGTCATTTTTTTTTTTTTTTTTGAGACACGGTCTCACTGTGATGTCCAGGCTGGAGTGCAATGGTGCTATTTTGGCTCACTGCAACGTCTACCTCCTGGGTTCAGGCGATTCTCCTGCCTCAGCCTCCCGAGCAGCTGGAATTACAGGTGCCCACCACCACACTTGGCTAATTTTTGTATTTTTAGTAAAGACAGGGTTTTGCCATGTTGGCCAGGCTGGTCTTGAACTCCTGACCTCAAGTGATCTGCCTGACTTGGCCTCCCAAAGTGCTGAGATTATAGGTGTGAGCCACCCCATTCGACCTGTAATTCTTTACTTCCCAAATTTTCTACAGTGATCATGTATAATTTTTTAGATAGAGAAAAATATAATTTTTTAAAAAAGGAGTGAAGGAAATAAAAGACAGTCATAAGACAACTGGCTCCTGAGTGGATATCAGCCTTGTCCATCCCTCCTGATCATTCAACCATTTCCAAGATAGCTGTCCCTTCCCAGAGCAGTGGGATATTAATGGCATGAGGCCAGCAGTGCACTTCTAGCCAGGGCACATTCTTTGGAGTCTGTGGAGTTTTTGTGGCCCTAAGCAAGAATACTAACCTTTAGTGCCAGCCACATAATCTACATTACAGTAGTCAGGCAATTTTTCTGGTCTCCTCTGGGGAATCAGCCCTGAGCCCTAGCTGACAGGTTAAGAGCCTGGCTTCCTGACAGCCAAATTGCCCATCTTTCTAATCTGATATTTTGGTTATTTTAATTAGATAATTAACCTGGCTCTCTATGTCTCTGTTCTGCTGTCTGCTCCTGCCCTACAATTCTGAAATGGAGCCTCCTTCAAATCCTGACATCTGTTCAGGAAAGGTCCAATAATGCAAAACGTGATAAAATGAGGCATATCTGAAGGGTCCAATAGTGCAAAATGCGATAAAATGAGGCATGTCTGTATGTAGGTAGATAGTTTCTGTGATGGTGCTTAATTTCTCAACTGGCCCTTTAAGATTCAGCTCTCTGGAGCCTTCCCTGACTCTGCTAGGCCAAAGTAATTCATTTATTTGTTCATCAAACATGTACAATTGCCTACCCAACATTAGATACCGTGTTAGGTAATGGAGAAGGAGAATGATTAAGACGAGATTCTTGCCTTCTAGAGGTTCACAATCTAGAAAAACAAAGAACTGTAATGGGGGTAATCATTAAGGTATGCATAAAATACATACACAAGTGGATAGAAGCCCAAGATCTGACTTGGGGTCTTTAACGATGATTAGGAATTTGCCGAATAGATGTGAGGGACAGGAAGGAAACTGGAAAATATTTTAGGCAGATAGGACAGCATGTACAGAGGCATGGAAGGCAGAGGCTATATCTTAACCAGCTCTGCTTCCCTAATTTATCTAGGATAGTGCAGGGCACATGGTAAACACCTCTGAATATTTGTTGAAAGAATGAATGAATGGCTGCTTTTGTTACTAGAGGCTTCTATTTCAAAGGAGTGTTTACACAACTCCAGTAAACTTTTTTAAATTTAAATTTAGATTAAAAAAATCTAAAAACAAACACAATTTACCATTTATTAAGCTCAACTCTCACTGATATAATACCCAAGCTAGTTCTCTATGAGATCTTTATTCAAAAATGTATAGACACAGAGGGGGAATACACTATACACCAACAAAGTGGCTGCCTGACTCACAGTAATTCCTTTTCCTGTAAAATGTCTCTTTACATAGGGTCGACTCGCAGCAGCCACATCTCTGTCTTTTTACCCTGCTGTATCCCTCCTCCCCTATCCTGCTCCACCTACATAGCTGACCAATACAGGAGTAAACCATATGACCTGAAACTTGCCAAATCAGGGTCCTAAGATAAATTAAGGGGTATTATGGAAGGCTTGGCCATGATATCAGCCAGGAAAGGAAACGGTTTGCTATGAGACAGAACAAAGCTGACTCATTTAGAAGTCAAGACAGAATCCTAGCAGTGTTCCAGTCCTTGAATCTACCCTCCCCATGGCTCAGCTGCACCCTGTCCTTCCAGTGGCTATGTAAATAACCTCAGCATCTTCCAATAAATTCCTCCTTTCTGCCCTAGCTGGTTTGAGTTGGATCTCTATTACTTGTAGTCAGAAGACCCAACTAACACAGGGAATGAAGACAGGAACTAGGAGGCCAACTTACCCAGGCTCTCTGTGGCTTCCACACAGACGCTAGGATACATGCCCTCAGTGTAAGTTGCCACCAGAAGATACAGATGGGTCTTCACCACAACCACACCAGCGTTCTCCTGGATAAAGAATAAAAGAGAATATTCTGCTCTTGGTTCTAATTACAGGACCAGTAGTCATGCTCCAGCTATGTTTTTCACCATTTTCTGATTTCCGTATTCCATATATTTATATGTCTGCTTTTGGACCGTCCACTCTTTTCCACCAATTTTGTTGCCTTTCCTCAAAAAGTTTCAGACTGTTATAATAATGGTAGATGGATTCTGAAAAGTTCCGCAATTGATTATCACATACCCCATCCCAATTAGAACAACTGATGTAGGCCGGGTGCGGTGGCTCCCGCCTGTAATCCCAGCACTTTGGGAGGCCAAGGCGGGAAGATCACCTGAAGTCAGAAGTTTGAGACCAGCCTGGCCAACTTCATGAAACCCCGTCTCTACTAAAAGTACAAAAATTAACCAAGCGTGGTGGCAGGCGCCTGTAATCCCAGCTACTTAGGAAGCTGAGGCAGGAGAATCTCTTGAACCCAGGAGGTGGAGGTTGCAGTGAGCCGAGACCATGCCATTGCACTCCACCTTGGGCGACAAAAGTGAAACTCATCTCAAAAAACAAAACCAAAATCAAACAAACAAAAAGCAAAACTGATGTAATGGAAAGGTCGTACATTTTGGAATCGGACAGCCCTGGGCTTGAATTCTAGTGCCTCCATTTTCTGCTGCACGTATAAGCAGTGTCCTCATCTTTAAAATGAGATTATAGATTATTTATAATGTGGATGAAGCAGCATGCCTAACCCATAATATAGGGCATCCAATGAATGATTTTCATCTCCTTCATTCCTTACAAGCAACATAGAGCTGAATTTTTTTTTTTTTTTTTGAGATGGAGTTTCGCTCTTGTTGCCCAAGCTGGAGTGCAATGGCATGATCTCAGCTCACTGCAACCTCTGCCTTCTGGGTTCAAGCAGTTCTCCTGCCTCGGCCTCCTGAGTAGCTGGGATTACAAGTGCGCACCACCACACCTGGCTCATTTTATTTTTAGTAGAAACAGGGTTTCACCATGTTAGCTAGGCTGGTCTTGAACTCCTGACCTCAGGCGATCCACCCACCTCAGCCTCCCAAAGTGCTGGGATTACAGGCGTGAGCCACCGTGCCTGGCCACTGAGAGATGTTTTAAGCGCATAAATGATTATCTTTTTTTTGAAGGAGGATGTAGAGTATGAAGGCTGGACTGTATTGGAAAGAGTTCAGGCAAGGCTCAGTTAATAGATTCTGGAATGAACATTTCTCAAAACCAGGCTCTTGATAGGACTTTCTTTCACATATGTCTTCCTGGCACTAGACTGCTATCTCAAGACAGTGGCTCAAGACATTAATGGATTTAATCTGTTTTACAGAGAGGATCAGGCAAGGCAAGGAAAATTGGAGGCAAATTCTTTTCTTTTACTCAGCTCTCTTCAAATCTTGAGCGCTCACATTTTTGGCATAAAGAGAATATTCATCTGCCCGGACACATCTGTAATCCTTTTCCTTGAAATACAATCCTTCTCTTCGGGTTTGCAAAGGGTTCTTGGCAAATCCATTCACCAGTGTTCGGACATCACTGGGCATTACCTGGAGAGGTTACATAGTTAGAACAGGAGTCAGCCAACTATGGCTGGTGGCCAGCCAAATTTAGCCCACTGTCTGTTTTTTATGGCCTGCAAGCTAAGAATGGTTTTCATGTTTTTAAACGGTTGGGGAAAAAAAATATCAAAAGAATAACACTTCGTGACACAAATTATATGAAATTTGAACTTCAGTATCCATAAATATAAAATTTTATGGGAACACAGTCACATTCATTCTTCTATGTATGGCTGTTTTTCCTTTACAATTGCAGAGTTGAGTGGTTGTGACAGAGACTCTATGGCCCTGTGCTGTAGTTTGAATCTCATGTTGAAATCTGATCCCCAACATTTTGGGTGGGGCCTAATGGGAGGTATTTGGATCATGGGGGCAGATCCCTCATGAATAGACTGATGCCTTCCCTGCGAGGTGGGGGAAGCTGTCAGTGAGTTTTCACTGTATTTGTTCCAGGAGAGCTGGCTGTTAGAAAGAGCCTGGCACCTCTCCACTTGCTCTCTCTTGCTTCCTCTCCCCCACTGTGATCTCTGCACATGCTGGCTCCCCTTCACCTCTGCCATGAGTGGAAGCAGCCTGAGGCTTTCACAGATGACTAATCTTCCAGGCAGTAGACCTGTGAGCCAAATAAACCTATTTTCTTTATAAATTACCCAGCTTCAGGTATTCCTTTATCTCAACAGTAAAAAGACTAAGCCTAGAAACCTAAAATATTTATGTAGCTCTTTACAGAAAAAGTTCATTTAAAAGTCATGTCTGGGCTGGGCACGCTGGCTCAGGCCTGTAATCCCAGTACTTTAGGAGGCCGAGGCAGGTGGATCACCTGAGGTCAGGAGTTCGAGACTAGCCTGACCAACATGGTAAAACACCATCTCTACTAAAAATACAAAAATTAGCCGGGCCTAGTGGTGCACTCCTGTAATCCCAGCTACTCGGGAGGCTGAGGCACAAGAATCGCTTGAGAGGCGGAGGTTGCAGTGAGCTGAGATCGCGCCACTGCATTCCAGACTAAGCAACAAGAGTGAAATTCCATCTCAAAAAAAAAAAAAAAAAAAAAAAGTCATGTCTGCTTCATGTTTGGAAGAATAGAAATAATAAGTAAACCAAGTCTTATGTCCAAACTTGTTTTTTCTTACATTAAAACCTGGTGATGCTACACACAGGCTCCGCTCCTGGATTTTGATGAGGGCTGCACTGTCCACATGCTTGGTTCCCAAGAGGGTGTCTAACAATAAGCTCTGCAAATGGCTCATGTTCCCTCAACTCTGAAAGGGAAAGTGCAGTTGAAGCCATTGACTCTGGCTAGCTTTTAAAAGGCATGTGAATACGAATGTCCTTAGGACACTTCAGACAGTTCTAAGATCAGCAAGTGTACTTTGAAAAGACACAGAGTGAAAACGGTGGTCCATCATTCAGGGCCCACCAATACCCAAAGAGAAACAGAATCATAGAAAAATCACAGCTCACACAGAGTAGGTTATGAAGCTGAGTTTGGAAAATCACAGCCTCATGATTTTCTGGCTATGTCAATGGTTTACATCAGGATCATCTGGGATTTAAAAACAAACATTGTACACTGAGAAAAACCCTGTAAAATAAAAAAATAAAAACAAAAAAACCCAGGATGGAGCGCTACTCCGCTAAGTTAAACACAACTAAAAGAGATATGCGTGGCCATAAACCCACACATTCCCTTCCCGGTGACCTGCATCAGCGCCCACTATGAACGCTGATCAACATCCCAACGGACTAAAAACACCTTGAAGGCACTTAAACCCACATTTCCCGCACAAGTCCCCAAGCCTTGGACCCCCCCTCCTCAGGACCTCCGGCACAGGCGCCCCTTTCCCGCCACTGCCTTCCAGTGGTTTGGTCCCCGAGCAGGACCGAAGGCGGGGCAGGGGGTGGTGAGCGGTGAATTCCCCGGCACCGAGGACTTGAGGGAGCGGACGCCACCCCGCTCTCTAGTGCTCCGCAAGGGGCCGGCGACCAAGGACCCGCCCGTCAACCGACGCGGTTGCGGGTGGGTGGCGGCGGCGGGATTGGCCGGGCCTCGCGCGGGTCACCAAGAAGCAAGGACTCCAGCCCCTTCCGCAAACCAAGACCCGCCAGCTAGAGCCGCCGCCCAATCCCCTTTGGGCCTGAAGCAGTCCTCCGCCGCCCTGGCGCCTCCCGCGCGGACTCGCTGTGGAACCCGCGGCGGAGGGGGCGGACGGTCTGCGCGGCGCTGCGTCCGGGAGACAGTGGGCGCCAACATTCGCGCGTTCCGCGCACGCGGGCGGGCTCCCTTCCAGCCGCAGCCAGACGACTCCGGGGCCGTCGGGCCGGGCCCGAGTGTGGAGCAGGACGGCCGCGGGCTTGCTGGCCTTGGGAGGGCAGAGAGGTGCCTGTTGCGGCCGGCGACCTCCCTGCCAGGCCGGGCGGTCCCCGCGCACAACGCGCCTGCGCGGGAGGCCCGCGGCCCGGGGTCTGGCGTGGAGGCCGCAGGCGCCCGGCCTAGCGGGTGGGAGGAAGGGCCGGGAGTGGGCGCGGTGGGCGAGAGCGGGTGCGGACGCTGACGACATCCCCGTCTCACCCGGGCCTCGGGGAGGACTTCGGGCCGCGCAGAGCTCGAAGACTTGCACAGTATGACCAAAAGCCCCTCCCTGTCTTCTCTAAGTAGCTCAGCCTGTGTTTCTCTGGCCGGAAAGTTGCAGTTCTCCCCACTCGAGGCCACCAAAGTCAGAAAAGTGCTGCAAATGGGACTCCCAGAGGCCAGGCTGAAGCTGCCACACTGGCTGGAATGGGCCACCTTGGAGGGGGACTTGGGAATTCATTCCAAGGGACGGGGGTTTCTTTCAAAGAGCATGTTGCCTGCTTACAAAGGAGGCTGGCTCTGAAGCCGTCATCTGGAGTCTGTAGTGAAGGCCTTTTGTTAGGGAAACTGGATGGTTCGTGTTCAAAATCCATTTTGCGTGTGTGCAAGGATACAGGTGGTATTAAACAGAAGAGAAAATCAGATGACTGTGAAATTTTCAATACTAAATAAGATGATTTTTAGTTTTTCTAGGGGCACTATTTATTTGTGACCACAATGAAAAATGTAGACAGTGATGATCTGGTAACTGGCGCACTTCCCAAGCTCAAGAGCTCAAAAGAATGGTTGGAGCCCAAGCCTCTCTGTTTTATGGAGGTATATAACAAATAGTGTGGGATTTGGAGATTTTTTTACTTGGGTCGTTGCAGTGGGAAGTGGCTTGTGCTAAATATATTGTTTTTTTTCTATTGTTTGTTTTTATTTCATTCTGTTTATTATTCCCTTCACTTTACTAACTTTGTATATTCACTTTGCTGTTTTTTTCCTAACATCTTAAGGTGGAATCATAGGTCATTGATTATATACCTTTTTAAATGTAGCATAGCTGTAAGTTTCTCTTGAGGTACTGCCTTAACTGCATCACCCAAATTTTGATATGATGTATGTATGTATGTATTTATTTATATTTGAGGTAGGGTCTTGCTATGTTGCCTAAGCTGGAGTGCAATGGCACGATCATGACTCACTGCAATCCCCGCCTCCTGGAATCAAGCCATCCTTCCGCTTCCTAGTAGCTGAAACTATAGTCGCACACCACCATGTCTGGCTAATTTTTGTATTTCCTGTAGAGATGGGATCTCACTGTGTTGCCTAGACTGATCTCCAACTCCTGAGCTGAAGCAATCCACCTACCTTGGTGTTCTAAAATGCTGGGATTATAGCTGTGAGCCCTTGTGCCCAGCGAGTTATATTGTTTTTAGATTGTAGTTTCTTTTTTCTAAACAGCTTTAGTAAGATATAATTGATATACAGTAAACTGCATATATTTAAAGTGTGCTGTCTGGTACTGTGGCTCATGCCTGTAATCCCAGCACGTTGAGAGGCTGGGGTGGGAGGATCGCTTGAGCCCAGGAGTCCTGGACCAGGCAAAGCAATATACTGAGACCCTGTCTCCACAAACGAACAAACAATAATAGCCAGGTGTGGTAGCATACACCTATAGTCCCAGCTGCTTGAGAGGCTGAGGCAGGAGGAGCGCTTGACCCCAGGAGTTTGAGGCTGCAGTCAGCTGTGATTGTGCCACTGCATCCCTGCCTGGGTGACAGAATAAGACCCTGTCTCAAATAAAGTATACAAACTTGGTAAGTTTTGACATGTATACACACAAAAACATCACCACAATCAAGATGGTGAACATACTCAGTACTCCCAAAGCTTCCTGACTATTCTGTTGTAATTCCTCCCTCTCTCACATCTCCCCACCACTGCTTTTCTTTCTTTCTTTTTCTCTTTCTCTTTCTCTCTTTCATTCTTTTTCTCTTTTTCCTTTTCTCTTCTTTCTTTTGCCCTGTCACTCAGCCAGGAATGCACTGGCGTGATCTCGGCTCAGTGCAACCTCCACCTCCCAGGTTCAAACGATCCTCCTACCTCAGCCTCCCGAGTAGCTAGGATTACAGGCCTGTGCCACCACACCTGGCTAATTTTTTTGGATTTTTAGTAGAGATGGGGTTTCACCATGTTGGCCAGGCTGGTCTCAAACTCCTGACCTCAAGTGATCTGCCCTCTGCGGCCTCCCAAAGTGCTGAGATTATAGGTGTGAGCCACCGTGCCCAGCCTGCTTTGCTTTCTGTCACTGTAGTTTAGTTTGCGTTTAAAAAATTGTATACAAATGGAATCTTCCAGTATATATTTCTTTTCCTTCTGTTTGGTTTCTTTGACTCATCACAATTATTTTGCCCCTCACCCATGTTGTATGTATCAATATTTCATTCCTTTTTTGGTTGAATGCTATTCCCTTATATGGATATATCCCAATTTGTTCATCCTGTTTATGAACATTTGGGTTGTTTCCAGTTTGGGGCTATTACAAATAAAGCTGTTATGAACATTCATATGTGTGTCTTTGATGGACATATGATTTCATTTCTCTTGGGTAGATATTTAGTTGTGGAATGACTGGGTCATATGGTAAATGAATTTTAACTTTTTATGAAGCTGCCAAACTAGTTTCCAAAGTCATTGAATTATTTTGCATAACCACTAGTAGTGTGTGAGAGTTCCAGTTGTTTCATAATCTAGCCAACATTTGGAATAGTTTTATTTACTTATTTATTGTATGGCCTTTTAAACTCAAGACATTTTCAAAAGATGTATAGTGACATCTCATTGTGGTTTTAATTTACATTTCCTTAATGACTAACGATGAGCATCTTTTCAAATCTTACTTGCCATTTATCTGTCTTAGGCGAAGTGTTTGTTCAAATCTTTCGCCCACTTTAAAATTGGCAATTTTAGGTTGGGTGGTTTGTATTCTTATTGTTGGACTCTTCTTATTGAGATATAGTTTATATGCCATAAGATTCACTACTTTTTTTTTTTTTTTTTTTTTGAGACGGAGTCTTGCTCTGTCGCCTAGACTGGAGTGCAGTGATGGGATCTCGGCTCACTGCAAGCTCCGCTTCCCGGGTTCACGCCATTCTCCCGCCTCAGCCTCCCAAGTAGCTGGGATGACAGGAGCCCACCACCAAGCCCAGCTAATTTTTGTTTTTGTATTTTTACAAAAAAAGGTAGAGAGGAGGTTTCACTGTGTTAGCCAGGATGGTCTCTATCTCCTGACTTAGTGATCTGCCTGCCTCAGCCTCCCCAAGTGCTGGGAATACAGGCATAAGCCACGTGCCTGGCCAAGATTCACTAAAGTGTACAATTCAGTGTTTTTTATTTTTTAGAAATTCAGAATTTTTATTTTCAGTGTTTTTTAGTATATTCCCCAATATGTGCAACTGTCACCACCATCTAATTCCAGAACATTTAATCACTCCCAAAAAGAAACCTCACACCTTTTAGCAGTCACTCCCCATTCCCCTCCCTCTCTGGCTGCTGGCAACACTCATCTACTTCCTGTCTAAACAGATTTGTCTACTCTGGACATTTTATACAAATGGAATCATGTAGTCCTTAGTGACTGCTTTCACTTAGTATAATGTTTTCAAGGTTCCTCCATGTCATAGCATAAGCAGTACTTTATTCCTTTTGATGGCCAAATAATATTCCATTGTCTGAGTATCACATTTTGTTTATCCCTTCATCAGTGGATGGACATTTGGGTTGTTTCTGTTTTTTGCTATTATGAATAATGCTGCTATGAACATTTGTGTATAACTTTTTAGGTAACATATGATTGCAGTTCTCTTGGGTATGTAACCTAGGAGTGGAATTGTTGGGTCATATGGTAACTATGTTTAACTTTTTGAGGAACTGCTGAACTGTTTCCCACAGCAGTGATACCGTTTTAAATTTTTATAGCAATGTATGAAAGTTACAATTTCTCCACTGCTCAGAGTTCGTTGAGCTTCTTGTATCTGTGGGTTTATAGTTTCTGATAAATCTGTACATTTTTCAGCCATTCTTTCTTTCTTTTTTTTTTTTTCAAGTGAGTCTCACTCTGTCACCCAGGTTGGAGTGCAGTGGCACGATCTCAGCTCACTCCAACCTCCGCCTCCTGGGTTCAAGCGATTCTTGTGCCTAAGCCTCCTGAGTAGCTAATATTACAGATGTGCACCACCATGCCTGGCTAATTTTTGTATTTTTAGAAGAGACGAGGTTTCACCATGTTGGCCAGGGTGGTCTTGAACTCCTGACCTCAAGTGATCCACCTGCCTTGGCCTCCCAAAGTGGTGGAATTACGGGCATGAGCCACCATGCCTGGCCTATTTCTTAAAATATTTTTTCTATTCCATCTACTCCATCTTTTGGGAAATATATTTTTTCTACTCCATCTTTTGGGAAATACAACTGTATGTACAATAACCTGCTTGAAGTCCTGTAGTTCACTTATATTCTGGTTATTTTCTTCAGTTTTTCCCCCGTGCATTTCATTTTGGAAAGCTTCTGTTGCTATGCTTTTAAGTTCACTAACTTTCTGTAATGTCTAATCTGCTAATAAACCTACCTAGCATATTTTTCATCTCAAGTATTATAATTTTCATCCATAGAAGTTTTATCTGGATCTTTTTGTTGCTGTCTTTTGTTTGTTTGTTGCTGCTGCTGTTGTTGAGACAGTATCTCGCTATATAGCCCAGTCTGGTCTTGAATTCCTAGCCTCAAGTGAGCCTCCTACCTTGGCCTTCCAAAGCACTGGGATTACAGGTGTGAGCCATCATGCCTGGCACTTAGTTCTTTTTCAAACACTTTCTTCTGTCTCAACATGTCTACTCTTCCTCTAGTTTCCTTAACTTATGAACTACAGGAATAATAATGATTTTAATGTCCTGGTATAATAATTATAGTGTCTCTGTCATTTTGGGGACAGTTTTGGTTAATTTTCCTTATTATTATTGGTTAAATTTTCCTATTTCTTTGTATACCTGGTGATTATTGGTTAAATTTTCCTATTTCTTTGTATGCCTGG